CCCCAGCTGTCTTGGAACTCACTATGTAGACCAGGCTTGCCTTGAACTCATAAAGATCCACCTGCCTCTGCCTCCCAAGTGCTAGGATTAAAGGTGTGCGCCACCATGCCCAGCTGAGTTTGTTTTTTATGTCAAGACCCAGGGTGCCAGCATTTCTGGGCATGGCCTCTGGTAGGCAGTGAGGCTTTGGGGCCATGATTTCTGACTCTTCTGTGTTTTGCTCCAGGTGTCGATAAAACTGACACTTTGGCAGCTGTCAAACTTAGAATTAAGATGTCTTCCTCCTAGCGTATTCTGTGTGACATTTGCTAAAGCCCATAAAAAGCAATTGCCTTTAAAAATGGTGTGTAGGGCTAGGGATTGGATGGCAAAAGCATTTGAGTGAAGGCATAGAGGAGAGAGAGACATTACCTGGTCTTCCCCTGGGGAAGAAAGAGGGTACAACACTTTTATTTTCTTGGTGAGCAGAAAAGGTACAGTTGGGTAGTTAAATTTGAATGAGAAAAGCATGACACAAAGAAAGGGTGGGGGGCGTTTAACAAGAAAATTCCCTGGAGGGGAAGATTAAAGTGAACAGGTGCTGGAAAAATGTTTCTGCATATTAGAGCTTAATTAGATTTGAAGATGAATTCCAGATGGGCTAATTATGTGTGAGTTGTTGCAGGTTATTTCTTGTAGGGGCAAGCATGTATTTTTGGAAATGGTGATTTAGTTTGATTGGGTTTGATTCCTGCCTCCTGCCCTATCTCCATCAAGAAACTGCCTCTTCAGGGGCCCAAGGTCCCCCTCAGCAGGCCCACATCTTTGGGGTCAGACATTGGCAAAAGGACAGAACATGGGGCCATTGTGACTACATGCTCACATATGTGGGGAAGAAAAAGTGTCTTCAGGTCAGGTGGAAGGTCGTCAGCAGGAGGCCAACAGAGCATGGTGGGTGTTGCAGGAGCATGCATTTGCTGAGGTGGGAGACAAGTCTGTTTGCCAGGAAAATGGAGCCAGACTTCCCACGCCCCACATAGGTGCTCGGTGGGTACCTCTGGCCAGCTCCCCTGGCGGGGCAGGGGGCAGCCCCTTGTTAGCAGCTCTGTAGGAAGCAGACAGAGGAAAGACATAAGTGAACATAAATGGAAGTGTGTTTCAGACAGGAAATTCTAATGGGGGCTACTTGGGGCCAGTGCTGTCCTGTTAGGACAGTGTGCTTGGTTTGCCTTGGGAGCAGTTTGCAATGATTGTCTCTAAAAGGCTCTGACACCCTTGGAAGGTGTGGGTGTGCTGGGAGGGGCCTTATGGCACACCTTGAAGACATATGGTTGGCACAGTTTGGGTCTGAGGGCTTCACTAAACATAAACTTTTATGTAAGGACCTATAATTAGAAATTACAGTTGCATAATTTGTATATGGCTCAATGAATGATTTATATAATGTTATGTGATGATTTAGATAGAAAATATGACTTTTGTAGAATCTTTTAATGAAAAGTATTAGTTCAGTTCTCGGGAATGTATTTTTAGAGCTCTATTTGAACTCAGCATGTTTGACATAAATCAGATCTAATTGTCATTTTATGATTAATGAACATATGCTGGCCGTTTTTCCCCATTAATTAAACTTTATGTTCTCTGCGTCTGACAAAGCAAAACAAGTTTGGACTTTGACAGATTGGCAGTGGGGATTTACGCGCGCGCACACACACACACATCCTTATTTGTACATGTGTTTATTTTGTGCGTGTACAAGTCCATAAGTCAGGTTTTCAGGGGTATAAGATTTTTAAGCATGAGACTTGGGGGCTGGTTAAAAGCACTGACTGCTCTTGCAGAGGACTCAGGTTTAGTTCCCAGCACCCAGCATGGCTCCACACCATTCATAATTCCAGTCCAATGGATTCACTATTCTCTTCTGGCCTCCACAGGCATTGCATGACATGGTTACACCTAAATACACAAAGGCAAAACACTCATAGACATAAAATAAAAATGATTAAGTTTTTAAAAAGAAGAATGAGGGGCTGGAGAGATGGCTCAGTGGTCAAGAACACTGACTGCTCTTGCAGAGGACCCGGGTTCAATTCCTAGCACCCATATGGTGGCTACAAACTGTCCTTAACTCCAGTTCCAGGGGAGTCCAAAGGCCTCTTCTGTCCTCTGCATTGCACGACACGGGTACACTCACATACATGCAGGCAATACACTCATACACATAAAATAAAAATAGTAAATAAAATATTTTTTAAAAATAGAAAAATGTGGGGCTGGAGAGATGGCTCAGCGGTCAAGAGCACTGACTGCTCTTGCAGAGGACCCAGGTTCGATTCCCAGCACCCACATGGCCGCTACGAACCATCCTTAACTCCAGTTCCGGGGGAATCCAAAGCCCTCTTCTGACCTCTGCGTAGCACGACATGGGTGCACTCACATACATGCAGGCAACACACTCATACACATAAAATAACAATAAAATATACTTTAAAAAAATAGAAGAATGAATACCAGGTGTGGTAATGCACACTTTTAATCCCAGCACTCAGGAGGCAGTGGCAGGTGGACTGGGACTATAGGAGACCCTGTGAAAAAGAAAGACCAAGTGAGACTTGGAATGACTGGAAGCACCCAAGTTCAGCCTGAGGAGACCTGAGGCTAATCACTTCCCAACCATCTATAGTTCAGGCTGAGCTTGGGAGGGATGAGGGAGTGTTCTCAGTATATTCTCCCTTTAGAGACATCCCAGGGGCTGAGAGCATGGCTGTTCCTGCAGGTCATGGCTATGATAAAGAGTTCTAAGAAACAGTTGAGGATGGAGTAGTTGCAAATATATGTGCATTTTCCTTTCTGCTTTTCATGCGCTTTGTCAAAATTATAATAACTTGAAAGAACTGGGCATAGTGGTATGCACCTGCAATCACAGCCCTCAAAAGGCAGAGCCAGGAGGATTTCCACAAGTTCAAGGTCAACCTGGTTTACATAGTAAGTTCCATCCAGGTCAGCCTGGACTATAGTGAGCCACTGTCTTAAAAACAACAGCAGGATGTGGTGGTGCACACCTTTAATCCCAGCACTTGGGAGGCAGGGGCAGGCAGATCTCTCTCATATGATATGGAGGCTAGACTGGTCTACCTAGCAAGTAGGCTGGATAGGGCTAAGGAGACCCTACGTCAAAAAGACCAAAACTAAATAAGTAAATGATAGTTTAAAAGGTCAGATGCATATGAAAGGAACACTAGCACTGCTAGCACTGAGCACCTTACTCACCTGCTGTTGACTTTTGTTGTTTCAGGACATAGACAAGTTTGGCAATGAGATCACCCAGCTGGCTCGCCCCTTGCCGGTGGAGTATCTGATCATAGACGTAAGTACTCCCTTGTACTTACAAACTGACAAGCTGGCACCAAATAGTCCCCATGGAAATTAAGACTCCCGGGTATTGTCCACTTGACGGAGGAAGCCATCGAAGCTTGAGTTGTATACTGTCCCAAGAATTGTTTGTTCACTTACTAAATTCTCATGTTTCCAGAAGGGAAATTTTAAATAACCTAGGGATTAACTTTCCCCAGGCTTCAGTGCAAACGGGCCCACCAAACCTCAGCCCCACTCTGTGGCCTCTGAAAGGCAATGTGCCCTTTTTCATGGGGCTGAATCCAGAGAGTGTCTGAGCAGCTCCATATGTGCTGGGCTTGGTTGGTGGCTACCTGCTGCCCAGCTTGTGCAGATGTTGCCCTGCCTGGCAGCAGTAATGCTCCTGGCGCCGCTCCATCCACAAGGGTTCTGGGGACACTCTACAGCTTAGTGTCCTTGAGCAGTGAGGGCCAGTGCTATTTCTGGGTCAGACCTCTAGTAGATGAAGGGCCTGGCTCTGCTGCCTCTTCTCAGAATCCCTGCTTCTTTCTAGACACATTTGATGGTTACAGAGATGCATTTATATTGTTGGCCACAGGGCAGTGAGTGCTGCAGGACCAAGCCTGATGACTTTGCAGCCGCTGGACTGTCCGTGCTTGCCAGAGCTCTGTTCAGGGGGTTGAGGTGGCTCATTTCCTACATTGCTGGAGTGCCAGAATATCTGTTCAGGTCTCATTTGGACTTAGGATGGGCATATGATTCAGGCAGTAAAATATCATTGCATTTGGAGCAGTGAGGCCCCCTGAGCCAAGCCCATCGATGCTCCATTCCAATCGACAGTTCCTGAGAACATATTTATTACCTAGGCCATAAAGGCATCTGTTTTTAGACTACCTAGGGTGTAATTAAGATGAAAACAGATTGATGGGAGAGTTGGCATCGTTGAGAATCAGCTTCCTGAGCTCCCCACCCCTTCCCCATTACCTCCCTACCCCTTTCAGTAGTACTAGGTTTCTGGGAAGCATTCTACCCAGTAGTACCTACATACTCTGTCCCTGTAGATGTGAGGACTAGGAGGCCCTTGAAAGCAGATGCCCAAGGAGGGCTACTCAGTTCTTTGCTTAGCCCCAGAGACAGTACAGACCTGGACTGGGGCTGTCCTCTGTTCTTTTGTTTCTGTTTTCTGTCATGCAGTATGACCTTGACTGGCCTCAAATTTGTAATCTTTCTGCTTCTGCCTACTGAGGGCTGGGATTAAGGTGTGAGCCACTATGCCCGGTATATATTAAATATTCCTTATTTTGATTATTTTTATTTTTTTTTAATTTTATGAAGTTTTGTCTCCATTTATGCAAGTGTACCCATGTTGTATAATGCCTGCAGAGGCCAGAAGTGGTCATTCGATTCTCTGGAACTAGAGTTAACAGTTGTTAGCCACCATGTGGGTGCTGTGAACCAAACTTGGGTCCTCTGTAAGAACAGCCAGTACTCCTAACTGCTGAGCCATCGCTCCAGCCCTCTTAAATACTATTCTTAAGCTTGAGAGTGGGATGGCTGTTTTACAGCAAGCATTTTACCCACTGAACCGTTTCTTCATCCCTGGGGTGGCTATTTCAGAGATGGAAAGTGTTACCCCAGGTCAGTCTGGGTAGGGGATGAAGAACACAGGATGAAGAACTGGATTCCTAGGTGGTCACATGGGGTCACATGGACTTTGACTCTGTTGCTGTCCAGGGCCACTTACAAGGTTAAAGAGCCCAACTGAGGAATTCTGGACCTTGTACTTGCTAGGCTGGCTCTCTGCTGCTGCGTTGTCCCTCCATCCCTTTTTAAGTTTTTTTTTTAGTTTTTTTTTAATGTGTATGAGTGTATTGCCTGCATGTGTGTAACTGCACCCATGTTGTGTGATGCCCACGGAGGTCAATTATAAGAAGCCGTTGGATCCCCTGGAAATAGAGTTATGGATGGTTGTCAGCTGCCATGTGGGTGCTGGGAATTGAACCTGGGTCCTCTGTAAGAGCAGTCAGCACTCTTAACCTCTGAGCCATCTCTCCAGCTCAGTTTTTGTTGTTTTGAGATAGGATCTCCAGACATTGCCCAGGTAGCCGTCCAACTTGAGATCCTCCTGCCTTGGTATTACAGGTGCACTACAAATAATTCTCTGGATTATTGGTAAATGCTAGCAAGTATTCTTCAGGCACCCTTCCACTCCTGTTTCTGCCTTTCTGAGTAGCCTAGGCTTGTTCTGCAGCTTGGATATACTCCCCACTTTTGGAGTTCAAGTCCAGCTAGGACTCTGTTATCTACCCCATATGGGGTGTGAGCTGCTCCCATCATCTGTCTTCTAGATGAGCAGTGTGAGCCCACATGGGCAGCACATAGCTCAGGTCTGCTGGGTTGGCCTTGCTGTTGCAGAGACTTGTCCTAGAATGCTGACATTAGCTCAGCTGAATCCAGAAATAGCCTACTGCCTTTGCTGATGTAGAAAACAGACCACAATAGCCAGAAGGTTTTCATTCTTTAGAAATAATCCTGCAGGAGTCAGAATAGCTGCTCTAATTCTGGAAGGGGCCGACCTGGTGGTGCTGGTGTCACGTGCAGAGAAAAAAGCCTGTCATCAGACGGGTTGTAGCTCACACTTGGGTGCTTTCGAGGGGAAGGGGCCTCTGCTAAAGGGAATAAGGCCTTTATTATCAGTTGCTGCATACTCACCAGTGACTCCGAGGCTTCTATTGATTATGTGATGGATATGAAATGACCTCAGCCATTAGCTAAAGCATGCTGGAGCCAAATGAAAGCTTTGGCTCATGTTCAGTAGCAGGTCTTGACTCCAGCTTGCTCACCTCAGAGGGAGAAAGCTGCCTGTGACTCACAGCCCTGCACATGCACCTCGACTCCTGGAGGTCACTGTGTTTCTCAGGTCCACTGTGCCTGATCCCAGCCTAGTGATGGAAATTTTGTGCCTCTTCTGTTTGCCTCCTGCTGCCTTCATTCTTTCCTGTAGTTCCTTGGTTTAACCAGGATAGGTGAGCCTTGGGTATCCATGAGTGAGCACAGTGCTCCAGCTCAGACAGCTACCGTTGGGTGTCACAGCAGCTACAACACAGAGCCAAGAGCTGCTCAAATGTGAGCGCTTCAAAGACACATTCTTGAGTTTGTTTCCCGGGCTCTGAGTTTCACATCGTTCATTTGAGGGGAATATTGTTAACTGTTTTGTTCAACACATAGTAGATGTGCTGGGCCTGTCACAGTTCATGTTTTTGTTCTTTAGATCACAACCACCTTTCCCAAGGATCCAGTTTACACTTTTTCTATTTCACAAAATCCATTTCCTATTGAAAACCGGGATGTGCTAGGTGAGACACAGGTAAGCTCTTTGTTTTAGAGACACAATTTAAAGGTTCTGTTTATTTAACATTGGTCTTATTTTCCGAGAAACTGATGTTTTTCGCACTTCCCTGTCTAATTCTCTGGTAAGCCCCATGAGGCCCTATTCTAGAGTAGTGTTGATTACTTGATGCCTTTTCTTTGCCTGGGTGATGAATAACCACAGGGTAAATCCCCTGAAGTCCTTGGGCTTAGAGACCTGCAGAAATACCATTGCCAGTTGACTTTGTAATTTTCCCAGTATTTATTTCTCACTTTCTTCTCTACCAACAATGACCTTTCTCTGGTTTGTGTGTTAGCGTCCTGTAGAGTGGAGCAGTGCGGGCAGTCTTGCTTCCTGGTTGATCTGTCTACCTGGTGCTGCTGTCTCTTGGGCTTGTCAGGGTCCATCAGGGATGTGGACCCATGTGGCCTGGCATGCGGTCTGATGAGCTTTGTTGCTCACACTTCCTGCCGCACCCTCTGCTCTCACTGGCAGATCAGCCAGACCTGAGTTGCAGGTTCTGCCGTGTGCAGACAGTCTGTGTGCAGACCAGTTTTCTTGAACTGGTTTGATGCCAACATTTCAGAATATGATTTGACTGAGGAATAGCCCTAACATTTACTTCTGATGTGGTTTCTTGCTGCCTGTCTGTCCAGTGAGGTGGAGTGCTTGCTGGGACGTAGTTATAGGCAGTCCTCTAAGGCTCCCATGGTAGTCCTGTTGCACGTGTCCAGTTGTTCAAAAGCTGTTCTCTCCATTCCTCCCCCCTGCATGCGAAGTAGGCCCTTTCCTCTACCTACTCTCTTCTTTTAGGTAAAGGGATATTTTTCCATCAGTCTGTAAAGACCTGCTTCATTTTTCTTTAACCTGTGTCCATCAAGTGTGTGGAGGGCATCCCCTGGGCAGGAGGGTCACACTAGCCCTGTAGCTCTGCACCTCTTCTGGACTTGTGATTACTGAAAGACTATACGTGTCTCCCAGCATTAAATGTATTTATTTTTAGTAGGAGACAGTGTTCCGTCTGGATCTGGCACTAGGGGTTTGTGATAAAATACTCATTTTTTTCCCTTTTTTCCGACCCTTCCCTTAGGACTTTCATAGTTTGGCCACCTATTTGTCCCAGAATACCTCGTCTGTGTTCTTGGATACCATCTCCGACTTCCACCTCCTGCTGTTCCTAGTCACCAATGAAGTCATGCCTCTGCAGGTATCAGCTTTGCTGCTGTTCCTCTTGTTTTCTTTTCTCAAATCCCAGGAACTGGAATGAAGCTTGGTGTCGAGAGACATCTGTCCTGCATCGAGTGTGTGAGAATGAGCAGGGGTGGCAGCAGTGCACGGGGGGCTTGCTGATGTGGAGCTGGTTGAGTTTCCCCTTTAGCCTCTGTAGTGAAGGACAGTTTGGCTGGTCATTATCACCTGGAGAGCAGAGGGGGATGAGCTGTGTCCTCAAGCCTGGATCAGGGGTCCCACTGTTCAGACAATCCCTGAGCAACAGCTCCAGAGCCAGCACTTCTGCTCTTTTCTGAAACCACCCCTCCTGAGCCAATTCAGTTTTATTGCCTTGGCCCAGAAGGTTTGGCTTGCTTCCAGGCTCTGTGCACATACCTGTACAGTTGGCATTTTTAAGATACACCATGAGGGAAAGTGAGTTATGAGCCTTTGCAGACACTCAGAGCAGGGCAGAACAGGAGGTCGCACTAGGAAGCCTTTCTGTGTGCCTTGGGCATACACAGCATGGGTGTCCTTTCCCATTGGCCTTTCTCTGCCTGAGACAGAAGTGCCAAGGAGAAAGAAATGAGTCTTTGAACCTGCTCACACTGACTTGGCCTCTTTCCCTGAAGGTGACAAAGTAGAGTCCTTCCTCCCAAGGACGTTTCTGCGGTCGTCCTGTTACTCTGCTGGATTTATTTTGTGTCTATTTAGTGCACACCTAGGATCCGTAGCCTGGGCAGGATGTCCATACCTGGTCTGAATTCTACATTGAGTCACTTTGTCTATTCTCATTGGGGTCAGCCCGGGTAGCTGGACCTAGTGGACTACTCTACCATCTGAGCACAAGGTGACAGAAAGGTCTGTCATCAGGACTACCTTAGCCCACACGAGTGTTTGCAGTTACCCGTTGGAAAATGTTTTCTGGAGGTCTTGAGAGCCCTTGAGGACTTGATCAGTATCACTGTACAGCTCTGTTGGGTTGGCCGTGGAGGTCATAGATATTGAATGTAGTTTCCAGATACTAATGGAAGAGAAAGACAGGAAAGTGTGAGGAAGAAGACAGGTCTTAACACCTGGGGCTCCATCTGTCTGCCCCTAGAACCAGGAATATAGGCTCCTATATTCTGGGTTGTTGGACCTACTGTCGGCCCATGGTAGAGATGCCTATGTTTGGCTTTTACTTCAGCATTTAAATGTATAGATCTCAGGTCTCCCCCAAGCCTCCACCCCATACTGGGAATTGAGCTCAGTGTCCTGTACATGCTAGGCAAGCACTCTTGTCACTAGGCTGTATTCCCAGCTAGATGTAATGTGTTTTGCTTTTATAGGGTCAGCCTCTTTGAGACATGTTCTTGATGTTAAAGAGTGTCCCTCAGGCAGAGCCAGGTAGAACCTACCTTTTGGCTTCTTGCAGGACAGCATCAGCCTGCTGCTAGAGGCTGTGAGGACCAGAAATGAGGAGCTAGCACAGACATGGAAGAAGTCTGAACAGTGGGCCACCATTGAACAGCTGTGCAGTGAGTGTCCCCTTCTCCCTTCTACCAGGGGCCACAGCCAGAAACGGGACCATGTGTCTCTTACATTCTGGACTTCTGGCTTCCAATACCTCCTTGGAGTATTTGGTTGAGGGGACCAGCACAGATGGCCCCTTTACTGGGCACATGCCATAGTTGTTGATGTGACTGTGTAGACCTTAGGTGTATAGAACTATGAGCTGCCTGGTTATGCATCAGATACAACCTTAATCTAAAAGGCGTCTCTGTGCACACTTAGCATGTGTTGCCATTCCCCATACCTTGATGATGCAAAAAAAACAAAACAAAAAACCTCAACAACTCCTGCGGCAGCAGGTAACAGGTCTAGAGCTCCTTGTGTTCATTAGCACTAGCTACTAAAAAGTTTAGTATGCGATTGTCTAATCCTGTGCACAGGACTGGCAACACAAAGTAAATGCTGTTTACAAACCACCATAGACACAAGACATCTGGGAACACCTTGAGGGTATCAGGCGAGAAGTCTTGGAGCTGCCATGACACCAAGAGTGGATTAAGTGTGAAGCTTGTCACTCTCTGGGCTGGCAGTTGTGTGTCTGGAAAATGCTGCTCTCCCAGCATCCATGAGTGAAGAAGTTCCAGTCAGAAATATGCAAAGAACTTTTTAAAAAATATTTTATGTGCATCAGTGTATTGCCTGCATGTAAGTGCACCCATCATGCAATGCCCACGGAGGTCGAAGAGGGCATTGGATCCCCTGGAACTGGAGTTACGGATGGTTATTAGCCGTTATGTGGGTGCTGGGAATCAAACCCAGGTTCTTTGCAAGAGTAGCCAGTGCCCTTAACCACAGTGCCATCTCTCCACCCCACAAATAACTTTTTTTTATCTTTTTTGAGACAGGGTCTCCTTTAGTCCCATCTGGCCTGGACCTCACTCTGTAGATTAGGATGGTCTTGAACTCATAGAGATCCACCTGCCTCTGCCTCTGCCTCTGCCTCCGCCTCCTGAGTGCTGGGATTAAAGGTGTGCACCACCCAACCTGGCAACTTTTTTTCTTAATAAAAATTAACAGGTTTGGAGAGATGGCTAGGCAGTTGAGAGCACTGACAGCTCTTGCAGAGGACCCAGGTTTCATTCCTAACAGTCATATGGCAGCTATGAACTCTCCTTAACGCCAGTTCAAGGGGAATCCGAAGCCCTCTTCTGACCTCTGTGGCATTGCACAACACGGTGCACTCACATACACACAGGCAATACACTCATACACATAAAATAATAAAATTTAAAAAAAAAATTGGGACTGGAGAGATGGCTCAGCAGTTAAGAACACTGGATGTTCCTGCAGAAGACCCGGGTTTGAATCCCAGCACCCACATGGCAGCTAACAACTGTCCATAACTCCAGTTCCAGGAGATCTGACAGCTCTTCTGTCCTCAGGCATTGCACTTACCTCCATGCAGGCAATATACACATACACATAAAATTTAAAAAAAAAATTAACAGGTTTTAGCATTTATATTGAGACATCTGAAGGGCAGGGTAGAAGCTGGAAAACTTGTGTTGCCCAGCCTCAAAGCTGTACAGTTCTCTTGATCCATCCAGGCACTGGGGTGTTGGCTGACGGCAGAGAACGTGATGAGCCAGTTAGAGTCTGAATGGGTTAGGAGCACAGGTGCTAGCACAGGAAACGGAAGAGGGTTTCTTTGACAGGAGAGTGTGCCAAGATAGCTGGAAGCTGTGGATCCAAAGAGTGTAACTAGAGCGGACACATAGTATACTTGAAAGTGAGCTTAGGACAGGTCTTGGGCCTACTACTTAATAAGCCTATGTCTTAAAAATCTTGGGATAGGAAACATTCTTTTAGACAGGATTCAGGAGTTGGAGGTAGTCCACAGAAAAATAAATTGCATAAAATTGGTAAATTGGATAGGAGTGGTGGTATATACCTATAATTCCAGCCCTTGAGAGGCCAACCTGGGCAACATAGTGAATTCAAGGTTCGGAGGAGATGCCACATAGTCTAAGGAGCCCAAGGCTGGAGTTGTTATCGATGGTGTAGTGTTTGTTGAACATAAATAAGGCCCTGAATTTGATCCTCAGTATCCCCCAAAAAATTAAGTTGAACTTTTGTCAAAATGAAGTACCTGTATTCATTGAAGGGCATTGTTAGCAGGATTTTCGATGCATACATATGATCTAGCCCTCTTTCCAAACCCCTAAGAACTGCTTATTGAAGAGCTTAAATAAGGGCTTGTCAAAGCATTTCACAAAAGGAGATGTAGGAATGGTTAGTAATAGCATTACTCATCAAGGAAATGCCAAGTAGAGCAGTGTGATACCAGTGCTCATTCATCAGAGTGGCTAAAATGAAGAAGCTGGTGGTACCAAGCCCTACTGAGGACATGGAGCCACCAGGACTTGAACCCCGCTGGGGGAATTGGTGTGAGTTTCATAGGGAGCCACAGACATTTGCCCTGTCATCAGCAGTCTCATTGCTGAACCTCTACCAGGAGAAAGGAAGATACAGGTCCACCACGAGTTTGCATAAGAGTGGACCTGCCAGGTGCCCATCAGCAGGGCTGTGATGATTCTCACAGGAGTACTCAGCAGCAAGGGAACTGCAGGTACAGAGCAGGGGAGGCGTTTGCTGACTGAGGCCATGGGCAGCAGTTTTGGCTCAAGCAGTAGGGGTTTTTGGGAAACCTCTAGTCCTGCCACAGAACTCCTGGGAGGTGAGGTATCCTTTCCGTGTATAAATGATGCATACTCACTTCTTTTTGCCCCGTAGGCACCGTTGGGGTGCAGCTCCCAGGCCTCCATGAGTATGGTGCCGTCGGGGGCTCTACACGTGCTGCCACCTCTGCCATGTGGGCCTGTCAGCACTGCACCTTCATGAACCAACCTGGCACAGGCCACTGTGAGATGTGCAGCCTCCCCAGGACCTAGGGCTCTGGCCCTCTGCTGGGTGGGACTGGGGCAGCCCAGCCCTCTCTGAAACCTGGAGCCTGAAGCCCACAGCCTTGAAGCAGTGGAGCCAACTACCCTGGTATTCCGGATGTACTGAAGCTTCACAGTGCTGATCTTGGAGAGAGAGAGAGAGAGAGAGAGCCCCAGCTGCTGTGCTGGGGCTGAACAGAACCAACTGGAAATGCAGAGCAGCCCTGCCCAGAGCACCTCACATGCCTCACCCAGTTAATAGCCCCCCCACTGCAGTGGAGGGACTGAGCACCTCCAAACTAACACCTGAAACCGGGGGGGTGCACGGAGAGGTTGCTGCTGTCACCCAGCTGTCTTTCCTTATGCTTTTTGTTTTCTGCCTCCCCCCCCCCCAGTTTTTGGTTAGATGCTCCTGGCTGTCTCTGCTCTCTTGCTGTGGGGCTGAGGCCCTGCCTGTGAGGGCCATGTCCCTCCTGTTATGAGGGGCCCCTGCCTGGTGGGAATGTATTACCTGGAGTGTGGCCTCCTTGGCCTGGTTTAGCATGCCACCTTTCCTTTTCTGGCCCAAAGTCAGGTGGGAGTTGGTTGTAATAACAGTTACCAGTAATTCCTGCCCAGAAAACTTTTATTTATTGTTTTTAAGATAAAATTTTGTAAAGGGGAAGGAGAGAGGACTTAACTTCAGCTTCCTCTCCCCCTCCAGTGCAGCCCCTCTTGGGTGTTCAAGATTGTTAGTGGGTGGGGCCACCATCAGTTCTCCTGAAGCAAACCTCAGTGCCTGAGACTTTTCTATCAAGCCACAGGATGGTGGCAGCTGGCAGCATGGGCAGCTCAGGAGCAGTGGTGGCCCTAACCTGGCAGTCAGATGGGCCAGCCCTGGGGTTCTGCTCCCCTCCCCCAGCACTTTTCCTCCACCTATGGCCTCCCCACACTCTGGCCTTCTGGCACAGTGCTGTGGCCATTGAGACAGCCTAGGTAAGATCCCCATGGGGTCTCTCTGGGGCCTGGACAGTTGATGCTCTACAGATGGTGTGAGGTGCAGGCAATCCAAAATGGTCCCAGTGTCTCTGAGGGCCCCATGTGGTTGTGCTCTTGACAGCCCTTTTCCAGGTGAGCTGTGGACATCTTGATGCCTCTTTGCCTTAATGAGAGCTAAGTCAGCTGTATTACACCCTGGGAAAGGCCATCCCAGACTGCTGGGATGTGTGTCACCCTAGTGGGACGAGCCCATGCTGCCTTCACCATCCTTGGCCCTGTGGACAGAACACTTGTCTGTTGGGTTAACCTATGGCAGGGCTGTAACCAGCACCCCTAGGCTCACCTGACGTGAGATCTGAATCAAAGAACTGGGGTTGTCTACTCCTGAGGCTGTGGGCCCATTGGCTTTTGTTTGGTCCTGGCAAGACTGTCCTGGAGGGCCAGGAGAGGTGGAACAGCAAGGCAGGCAATCTCTAGCTGCCTGCCAACATAGGAGAAAGTGCTGAGGGCTGTCTAGTCTCCTTGCTGGTAGTTGCCCTGGCTAGGGCTTCACCTTCCTGCCTCTTCTGGTCCCCGAGGTCAGGTAGATTTGGTATCCTGGCATTGCTGTGTTCATGACTTCCCGTTTCCAAGCCAGTCATTCTAGCTGCTACCCATTCTGGGCAGGTGCCAGGCAGCACACACTTCTGGAGACCTTCCCACCACCACTTACTCCCCAACTCACTCTCATCTTTGTCTACCAAGCTAGTTTCCTTTTCAATATTTTTCTCATGTTCTGGCATCCACATAATTCACGTTTTCTTTTGTCTTTAGCTAAAGAAACTTGTGATTTCTCTGCTTATGGTTTTGAGTTACTCTTTGTTCAGTAATGCACTTTATTTTATTGTCCAAAGAGAGTCAAGCTAATGCTACTAGCTTAGGGTGAGCCCACCTGAAGGTTCAGGCCTGGGCAGCTCAGCTACCTCCTCCTATGTGGAGGTGGCCCTAACCCCACCTCTAATCCCTTTTGCCACCAGGCACTGTAGCCCAGAGAGTAGTGCCTGTGAACATACCTGTCCAAGTGAACCTAGTAGCTGCCATGGTCCCCTTCAGGCCCAGAGGTGGCCTAGCCCTGGCTGCCCTCTGACCAATCTGCTCCTGGGACAGGGTGCTCCCGCTTCGGCTCTGCTTTGGGCTGGCAGGTGTGCGTCGGCTGGGTGCAGACAGCATTTTGACTCCAGTCCTGCAGTGGAACCTAATAAAAGCGCCTGAAGCGATTGCCCTGCTCTCAGTGCATTGTTCCTGTGCCCAGAACCATTGCCCACAGGTTGTGTCTGGTGTGTGCTTGCTGTGAAGTGGTGTTGCTGTGCTCCTGAGATGTGCTTGGTCATTTCAGAGTGGGACCCAACTTCCCAACCTGTTGCTCCCCTGCTTGGGTTTCTGGATGCCATCCTTACAGGTCTGTAGCCTGGTGACCTCCCTGCCGTGCCTGTTCTGCCTCTTACCTGCCAGACACATGGCTACTACATTTCTGTATCATGGATATGGATGGATAAAGGCTAAGTCCAGGCAGATAGCCTGGTCAGCCCATGTCCACTCCCCACACCACTTGGTCACTCGAACCGTTCTGGCATGCTTTCCTATATACTGGAAGATAGGCTGGGAGGACTGATGGGAGTGGATAGGGAGTCTTGAGTGTTAGATGAGCTACAGAGAACTACCTCCTTACTGCTCAGACTGTCAGCATTTAAGGGCAGCCTGGGGACAGTGCAGAGGTATGTTCCAAAGGACATTCAGGACATGTCAATACCCAGAACTGGGGTGATAGGTCATGCCAACCCCTCCCCCAGCCTCACCTGGGATTAGGATGTGGTTTGTGTTTTGTATGTGTACAGTGTGTTACCTACACGTATGTAAGTGCCCCTGTACATGCCATGCCTGCAGAGGCCAGAAGGGGGTGTTGGAATCCCTGGAATTGGCAGTTACTGAAGGTTGTTAGCCTGGAAACCGAACTCCGCAGAGTCAGTTCTCTTAACCCTTGAGTCTGCCCGGATTGGTTGTTTTGCCAGCTGCACTAGGACTAGGCTATGTCCAAGCCCAGTGGACATTTTGTGGCTGGCCCTTGACATTTCATGGCCTGTGGACTTTTGAGATGAGCCTTCTTTTGCCTGTACTGGCCCCAAATTCTAACTGCAGCAGTCCTGCTGGGGTCGGCCGCCCCTGAGTAGCTCTGGGCATTAGCAGTGGCACCGCATTTCCAATGGGTGGAGAGCTTGGTCTTGCACTTGGAGCTCATCAGAGCAGAGCGCAGTGGGGAAGGGAGGCGCTCCCTCGCCTCTCCGGGGCTCCTCCCAGCCGCTGCTCTCGGGGCTGGCTGGCCCCACGGAGGCCTCTATGGCCGAGAACATGGGGTCCAGCCCCAAAGTATGCTGTTGATGCCCTGTGTCCCTCGCCTGGACTCCACACTGCTCCCACGTTCGGGAGGTATCGACCCGAACCCCGCGCGTTTCCTCGCCCCGCGCACCCTCGCTCGCCAGGACCCTTCCTCTGATCCGTGGCTTGAGCCCGGCGTGTCCGTCGTCCCGTTCTCTGCTAGAACGTCGGCTCCTCCAGTCCTGACCCGCCGGCCTGACCCGGGGAGCCGCTGGGCCGCCGCACGTGGACACGGCTGGACCCCCGCGCCCCAGCTCGGTCACCCCCTAACCACACACGGAGGCCGCGCCGCGCCGTGGGCGGCCGTAAAGCGCAGAGGCGGCACCGCCCCTCCGAGGAGCGCTGGCCGGGGCCCAGGATGGCGGGCGCTGCTTCCCGCGTGCACTACTTGACGGACTTCTGCTGCCCGCTGGGGGGTCCGGCGGCGGGCAGGCCCCGCGTGCTGTGCCACGAGCCGGAGGTCTTCCTGTCCACCGGGCGCGAGTTCGTCTACGTGTACGACCAGGAGGGCGGGCAACTGACGGTGAGCACGGGGCTGCGGGCTGCGGGCTGCGGGCGGGGCTCTGGGGTGCGGAGCCGCGTGCGCCTCGCCCGACCGACGGGTGTCACGGGCCGTGTTCCAGTTCCTGTGGAACTCTCCCACAGGCGGTGTTCCAGTTCCCCGACCAGGTGTGGCACCTGCAGCTCCTGGCCCCCCGCCGGGCGCTCTACGTCCTGTGTGCCCGGACCGGACTCTACTGCCTGGCGCTGGACTCCCTGAGCAGGTGAGGGGGCGTGGCCGCGGTAGGCCTGCACCGCGTGGACGTACTCGCGTGTCCTCCGTGAGCCCCCGGCGGTTTGTCCTTGCGACAGCCCGAACCGGCCAGCCGCCAGCCCGGGGTGGGGAAGCGGGCCCCTTGCTCGCCGACACCGGTACGCTGTGCGGGTGTTCACCAAGAGTGCTCTCTCGGGGTCGTAGGCGGTTGAGGCCGGGGTGGTGAAGTCTGCAGCCAGGAGCAGCCTGCCGTTGGCCTCGAGTGTTTGGCAAGACCCCTTAAAAGTAGGTCTCAGGCGGGCGAGTCCAGGCCAGCCTGGTCTAGTGAGTTCCAGGCTAGCCAGGACTACAGGAAGACCCTATCTCAAAAAGAATTTAAAAATCCGTCTCGGCCTGGCGTGGTGGCGTACGCCTTTAATCCCAGCACTCCGGGGGCAGAGGCAGGCGGATCTCTGTGAGTTCAAGGCCAGCCTGGTCTACATAGTGAGTTCCAGGACAGCTGGGGCTTCAGGGAGAACCTTTCTCAAAAAAGCCCCCCCCCCCAAAAAAAAATTCGTCTCAAGAGGAAGAGGGGTCTGCCGTTGATAGTCGGTGCAAAGGTTTCTTGACCATGGGCTTGTGCTGTGAAAAAGCAACAGGTGCATCCCACACTAGGCCTCGGGCATCGTCCTACTCTGACGAGCATTGCGTGGAGCCTGTTTCTGGCATTCTGGCCCTATTCCTCCAACTGCCAGGTGCTGTATGTGACCCGCTGAGTGGCTTAGGGATACCATGGGAACTCTTGAGAGCACTTATGTGACATTCCCTACACAGCCTGCTCTAAGCAAGTCAGGTTCTTGTGGACACACTTGAGCCTTTCCTACCCTATACTGACTACAGTTCTATTGTTCCTGAAGGTCTCTGAGCCAGGCCTCTGAGGACAAAGAGGATGAGGATCTTCCTTCCCCTGTGATCCCTGTGGACCCAGATGCCTGTGTGCTCCCTGATGCCACACTCTGTGCCTTCACTGTGGTGGAGGACATGCTTATCACCCTGGTGCAGGGCCCCACCCAGTGGAAGATGCAGCTATTTGAGCGTCCCTGTCCAGGAGAGGAGCCCCGGCCCGAAGGCCAGATTGGTGAGGTGGAGTTGTCCACCTGCACACCCCCAGGTGGGGTCCCAGGGAAGTCTGCAGCCCCCTGCTTCCTGCCAGTGCTGTGCTGTGTGTTGCCACCAGGCTCCCGGGCACTTCACGGCCAACCCCAGGGCTTCGAATGCTTCATGTTGGAGGAGGCTCTGTTTGGTTTGCTCTTTGGAGCTGATGCTACTCTCTTGCAGTCAGCTGTGATCCTCTGTGGTCTCCCTGATGGCCAACTTTGCTGTGTTGTCCTGAGGGCCTTGGTCACTTCCAGGTCAGCCCCTGGTGACCCAAAGGCCTTGGTCAAGATCCTCCATCACCTGGAGGAACCTGTGGTCTTCATTGGGGCATTGAGGACAGAGCCACAGCCTGAGGAAGCTGCAGGAGGGTTGCTGCCTGGTGAGGATGTGCACTCTGATTGCCTGGTGGCCCTTGGCCACCAGGGCCGGACACTGGCCATCAAGGCCAGCTGGAACAACTCAGGGAATCTGGTACCAGAACTTCGAGAATACTGCCTTCCGGGACCTGTGCTCTGTGCTGTCTGTGATGGGGATGGCCACATGTACCACAGCACACCCTCAGACCTCTGTGTGGTAGACCTGACTCGGAATGGCATCTCCTGGAACCTGGAGAAACCTGACCAGGCCATAGGAGGTCTTCCGTCCACGCTGTGCCCAGACAGCTTGAACATCTGCAGTGTCGTCACTCTCTGTGTGTCATCAAGGGCACCTACAGGTACTGTCTCCTGTTCAGGTGTGACACTACAATTGGGGCAGGCCTCCTCCTTGACAGTCTTCCAGAGGTGGCCTGGGCTCTTTGCTTGTGTTGGGCTTTGTATGACCTTTCCTGAGCTGGCAGGTTCAGGCTTGCCCTCACCAGGCGTTTCACAACCTAGTGGTTCACTCACTCATCTTGGGGTGGAAGAACGTGTGACCCCTTGGCTTACACGGTGGTACTGCTGTACCTGGATGCACTCTGGCCCCTCACTTGAATGGCAGCTTAGAGCATGTGACTTGTGGGGGTCAGTGCAAGAGCGTCTACCACAGCAGGTCTCAAATCAGGTCAGACCAAGCCTCCATGCATCCTCTGAGGGCTGGATGAATCTGCTTCAGCTGCTGCGTGGCCTGTTTATAGGCCATTCAGAGGGTGTCTCTGAGTTCTCCATCCAAGAGAGGGTTTTAGCTGACATTGGGGTGAGAGGACGGCAGCCCCTCTAGGCTTTCCTATTAGAGTCAGCTAGAGTACAAACAGGAGAGATCCTTTGAAGAGTCAGACTACCATGGTGTGGGGGGCAGATGTGAATGTGGCTGAGACTAGGACCCCTGTGACCTGACCATCAGCTGCTTGCCTTTGTGTTCAGAGCTGAGGGATTGGGAGCAGGCAGACCTTCGGCAGAGGCAGCCTCTGCCTCCTAGGTGCCGAGAGGAGGGCAGGAGGGTGCTGTGGAGATGTCTGGCTTCTTGAGATGTGCCCAGTGAGGATGGGGTGATCAGAGCTCGCCTTCAGGGCACTTCTCAAAGGCAGAGCTCAGCAGCCTTTCTCTGTGTGGTCTGTTGAAGGCCATGACGTGTCTGGAAGACTTGGTGCCATGCAGTGTCTTCTTTTAGCCCCTTTTTGTCCTGTGTGAGCCAGTTGCCACCAAGGTACCACATGTGCTGACCTGACTTCCATTTCATGGAGGAACTTTAGAAGGTGTGCAGAGGCCAGTGGGCATCATCTCTGTCCAGCCCTGGGAGGGGGGCTTTCCCACATCTCCCCAGGCACCTCACCTTTGGACGCTGTCTTGGCCCTCTGCCAACTCTTGTCCTAGAGCCCAGAGCAAACACTACTGAGTGTCCCATGCCAGCTGTTGTGAGCCTGCTGACCAGCCCTGCATGCATGTGTCCATTGTCAGGTGGTACTGAGCTCCTGGCCCTGTCTGCCAAAGGCCGCCTGATCACCTGCAGTCTGGACTTGAACTCAGAGGAGCCTGGTCCTGCCAGAATGACCATGGCAAATGCAGGCCAGAAAATTAAGGAGCTGCTCCTGGACATTGGCGATGTCTCTGAGAGGTGAGTGGCAGGCTTTGGCTCAGGCAGAGGTAGTGGTGTGTCCCTGGGAGGCAGCATCCTGGGAAAAGCTGTCCTAGGCTAGGGTAGTTTCAGGTGGAAGCCATCTGTGTGGCTATCCCTCTGCCTCTAGCTCCATGGGAATATTTCCACAGTGCCCACTACCCACTGTCACTAAGGATAACTGCAAAGGAGAAAATGGGCCAATTGGGAACATCTGGGGTGATATAGATGGGCACCATCTTGCTCTGGGTGGCCCATGTGGATGTCTGGCTCCTTGAGTCAGGGGCAGGGGTGCTGGGTTAGCCTCTTCCCAGCAAGCATAGCACAGTTCAGCAATTCCATCCTGTGCTGCCTTTTGTAGCCAAGAGTCAGGTCACACAACTAGGCCTGGGAAGCTCCTCATGCTCTCATGTCCCCACTGGAACCTTGTGCTAGAACCATGTTCTGGTCCCTTCTTCTAGAGATAATGGCTCCCTCTACCATGACTTCACTGTCCTGGGTGTCATTTCTGTTTGCAGAGTGTCCTTTCTGAAGAAAGCCGTGGACCAGCGCAACAAGGCCCTAACAAGTCTCAATGAAGCCATGAATGTGAGCTGTGCCCTGCTGTCCAGGCAGGAGGGCGCCCGGCCCATCTCGTGCACCACCACCATCGCCTGGAGCCGCCTGGAGCTGCGGGACGTGCTGATGGCCACCTGCGTGCTGGAGAATGGCAGCAGCTTCAGCCTGGATCAGGGCTGGACCTTGTACATTAAGGTGCTTACTAGCTCCTCTGCCTTGGACCTGGATGGGGCTGGCTCAACTTTCACCTACACCATACCAGTGGACAGACTCAGCCCAGGCAGTCGGCGGGAGGTGACGCTGCCCCTGGGCCCTAGCGAGAGCGGCGTGCTTGACCTGCCAGTGACCGTGTCCTGCTGGCTCTTCTACAGTCTCAGGGAGGTGGTGAGTGGGGCCTTAGCCCCCTCCGACCCCCTAGAGATCCCCTATCTGGAAGAGTACCCCCTTAACCTTCCCAAGCAGGAGGTTGTTTGTCTGCCCCTGTGTAAGCGCACAGTGGACATGCTGCAGTGCCTGCGCTTTCCCAGCCTGGCCTCATCACCCGCACAAGCGTCCTGCCTGCCTGGCCCTGTCCGTGAGCATGTGGAAACCTTCCTGGAGACCTGCCAAGCCCCTCACAGTGATCTAGCTGGCCCAGCCTCCCTGCGGGCCAAATACCTGCCCCCATCCACAGCCTCCATCAGGGTGTCAGCGGAGCTGCTCAGGGCTTCCCTGGAGGACGGTCACTCAGGTTGGTGGCACTAAGGCTTTACTCTGGTTTCAGGGCTCTGGGGCCGTGGACATGGAGTGTTTCTTGCGGAGTTCCACTACATTCTAACAACTGTTGGAGTCTTATGTCACATGGTCCTGTCATGTTTTTTTTTGTTGTTTCTTAAAAACTGGAAACAGCTGGGCGTGGTGGCACACGCCTTTAATCCCAGCACTCGGGAGGCAGAGGCAGGCAGATCTCTGAGTTCAAGGCCAGCCTGGTCTACATAGTGAGTTCCAGGCCATCTGGGGCTACAGGGAGACCCTG